GGCGAGGGGTTTCGAGATTACGGGTGAAATCGCGCAAGGCAAGTTGAGGCAAAACTCAGCTGAAGCCGGCTTCAACACACTAAAAAATGTGTTTGAGATTGAAATGAATGTGCTTGAGATATTTCAGACTGAAACTGGCAGAAACCTTGTCAAGCAAAGCTGATTTGCAACCTGGGACTGGGACACGTTCGTCTGGCTGTCTGCTGTCACTGCTGCTCACTGCATTCCAGCTCACGCAGATCCAGCTGTAAGTCAAGCAAGCTAAAAACAATGCCTTCAGTCAGAATACCGTCTGAACCGCATTGCGATGCATGGATTGGACCAGGGGGTACGTAAGTGCAATTCCCAGTGGGTTACTCGGATCAGATCGTTATTCCGGACATCGGCCAGGCTTGAATTAATTGACTCACGTTGACTCCATCGAATCCCCTCAATGGCTTTTTGCACCTCCACGATCATGCCACTTTGCCTCCAGCGGAGGCAAGCTGTACTAGTTAGTAGTGATGCCAAATACGGGGTTGGTTATATTATTCGTTGGCGATTCCTTGGTGGGAATGGGGCTTAGGGGTCTACTTGGCAGAACAAAGGAGAATCAATAGTTTCAAGTTTCAAGACTCCACAATGTTCCCATATGGATGGTTTCTCAACACAGGTTTCTCTCAAAGACCTTGGGCATCAACAGGGAACTCCATAGGGATTGGAGTTTTTCAAAACTACCCCATAGTGGGGTTATTGGGATAATGGCAAATAACGTGGAAACTCCACACTGACTGCACCAAAACTAATGGAACCCCTAGACTAATCCCGTAACCCTGAACCTGAACCTGAACTGAACTGTGAAAAGCGGAAAGTCTATAATACTCTTTAACTTTGACCACTACTCCCTAGGCATTAACAAATCACAAAGCCCAAGAGTTATGAAGTTTCACTCCCATAAACAACAACGACCCCTGACCCTTAAGACTAAACTGAGGCCCTACACTGGCCCTAAACCCTAATCCCTTGTGACCCTTCGCCCTAATCATCCCGTATGAGCCTCAACCCTAATCCCCTATATATAATAAATATGGCCCCCAAATCGCCTATGACCCGTAACTCGTAACCCTAAGCTCCTATGACCCTTAACCCTAACCTGGCCTAACCTCCTATTCTCCTATGATACCATGACCCAGACCCAAACCCTGAATTTTCCTGAACCGCTTTGACCCTAAACCCTAATCAGCCCTAATCCCGTCATTGGCCCGTCATGCCGCCTTTCTGATTTCTGATTGCATAGGAGCGAAGCCGTCCACGAGTCGGAACACTCCTGTTGCTTTTCAAATTTTAAGGAGCCTAAACTTCAACTTAGTTATCATAGTGGGCCAATAGTGCGCATATAATCTATAATAATAGGGTTTCCCGACTATTCCTGAGGGTGTCAAGGCATTGGCAGTTGTCAATTCACCCTACTCTAAGCATAAACTCTAAACGGCCCCAAACACTGAAACCTACACGCCCCAAACCCTAAGGCGCTAATTCCTAATCCCTAATCCATGCCGGAATCCGGAATCCCTAATCCTATAAATAACTTAAATAGCCTATATACCCCAACTTAAGTGCCTGAAACTCAGAAACTGTCAAGTTCTGCAATTTGCGGCGTAGCAGCAGCAGCAAACCAAATAAAGGCCACGCGCACGAAGCAATAATCACTCATTGGTCACCTTGGCTAACTGCAGCTTATTGCATTGCAATTCTGCGCTTGCATTTGCAGCACGTCTCAGAACTGGAAATGAGCTGCTGATGATGGCGGCTGATTGTTTTTGCGTAGCTGGGGCTTGCCCGGTGACTGTTTTTGGTCTAGGTTCTGATTTGTGGCTCTCCGGAGTTTGATACATCAATCAGTGCAGCGCAGGTGATGACTCATCGTGACGACTGGTTCGGACTACATAAATGATGCATCAACCACCAGAGAACTCAGTGGACAGCGACCCACATAGTCTCACCCTAGTGAGCGGCTGTGGCTGCGGCAACGCTTCAGTTGCACTTCGAAACTGAGCTGCAGTACTGCAGCAAAACCAAAAGCTGGAGCCTTAGGCTCGAAGCTCACAAGTCAAGATCATCCGTCTGACAGTTTGACTCAATCTCAGTCTCAGTCTGACTCAGTCTGACTGACACACAGACAACGACGGGCGACAGGCGACAGGTGAGGATTCCGTCAAGCAAGCTCTTCTCATCTCTTGCGCTTGCTGCCAGCTGCTGGCTTAGTCTCAGCCTTCTCAGCTGACTTCTGCTTCTCCTCCGCGCGGGCTTGCGCTTGGACTTTGCCTTGGCGGCCTTTTAGGCCGCACCTGGAGATTGCTTGGGAGACGGCTGATTCTTGGGCTTGGGCGTGCTCTTGGGTGTCTCCTTGGCAACCTTCTTTGCGGACAGCGGCGTCTCCGACATCGCAGGCTCACTTGGCGCAGGTACACCTTTACGGAATGCATCTGCCAACGCCAACGTGCCTTTCTGCACAGAATGCGCAGGCTGCGTAGGGCTGCCGGGAAGCTCTGCAGCTGCTTCTGCTTCTGCCGCTGCCGCTGCCTGCCGTTTCTGCTCCATTTCAGCCCGCGTGACTTGCACAGCTTTGGTGGCTTCGTCAGGTTCATCCTCTGCAGCTGGCAAAGCCGCCTGTGGCTCTGCAGCTGGCAAAGCTGCGTCTGCGTCTGGCTTTTCAGCTGGGGCTGGGGCCAGAGCCGCTGGCAAAGCTGCGTCTGGCTCTGGAGCCAGAGCCGCTGGCAAAGCTGCGTCTGGCTCTGCGCCTGGAGCCGCTGGCAAAGCTGCGTCTAGCTCTGCCGACACAGCTGCTGCATCCGCATTATGACCCTGATCAGTGATTGCCAGTAGCGGCGCAGGCGGCGCTTGGGCTGGCACAGGCGGCACAGGTGTCACTGTTGCCGGTTCTGCAGCCTGCTTGGCCTCCACGGACAGGCTCTTCCACCACACAAGCCAAGACTCCACGTCGGCCAGCGGATCTCCTTCCATGTCGCCGAACCTGACTAGCTCGCCAAGGACCAGGTTACCAGGTTGTTCATTCTTTACAATCTACTAATCTACTTTAGCCGAAGCAAGTACTGAGACTGAGTCACGCCGAGAAACACGTAATCATCATCGACCTCCGCCTCGATTGAAGCCATGTACTGAGGGAAGAGCACATGCTTTTGGACTGCCTGAAGCTCCCACTGCAAGTTTGTCTCATCGTCCACGAAAAACTCATCCAAGGCGTCAGGGGGCTCATCATAGTTGAGGCGTTTCGGGGGAACGTTCAAGCTGGCCTCGCCCTCAGTAACAATCTTTGGGGAAATAACCTCAGGCTTCACCCGAGCCGAAGCCTCCGTCTCATGAGGATCTGTGCCCGGCAACAGATAACCCACCAATTCCATGCCGGCCTCAATCATCTGCCGAACATTCGTTGCTTCAGGCTCCGAACAGCAGTCCCGGATCAACCGCATGTTGTCGCGCGTCTGCGCAAGTGCCTCGTCATCGCGGAAGATTCCCGCCGGCAATGTGATCTTGCCCTTGGGTCATTTGCATGGACCCTGGGGGGGGGACTGGGGGACCCTAAGACTAGATAAACGATAAACCCACAAACAGCAATAGTAGCAGCAGAGTAGCAGTTGCAGTATCAATAGTCGCCATGGGCGTCACAGTCATATTTCAGCCAAATTTCAGCCTAGGCACCAGGAAGGAGACTGCATTCTCCTCCACATCCGCCGCCGATTTCTCACCACCAAGAAGAATTGGGCGATCGTCCTCTGGCAGCGCATGCATCAGGTAGCCGGCAGTGCACTGGAACACAAGGCAGCCGGGAGGAACATGACAACCTTCCCCTGCTTCAAGTAGCACGTAACTGCCACCCTTTGTCATCAATGACTCTAGGCTGAGGTTGCCCATGATGCTCGCGCTGTCGGCAAGAGGCCGGCCCTCCTTGCATCACAGGAACCAAAAGCAAACACACATACGGACTCTACTACACGCGCCCTGTCCTGAACCTCCTGGCGAAAAGCAGACCATGGGAGCATGGCGATGAACATGGACCCACATGTCACCCACACAAACCTGCCAAAGCCCATGTCGGCCACGTTGATGGAGGACCACAGGGGGCCACAATCCGTGCGCCGCATGCGCAGGTAGCTGCGCAGCTTGTCCAAGTCTTGTTTGCCCTTCTGCAGGAACCTTTGCTTCAGGTTTAGGTTTTAAGGTTCATAGGGTTTTAGGGGGCACAGGCTTGGGGGATTCAGGGATTCAGGGGTTTTAAGTTTCAAGTTTTAAACTCTATGACCTGATCAAGTGTGGAGCGCGGGAGCGGGAGGGTAGTTGAGTCAAGGCTTGTGCTTAAGGTTTTCAATTTGCAAGTTAGCAGTTTATAGGGGTTAGGTTAGGCAGGGCACGCCAAAGCCAGCCGCTCCTCACCAGCGAACATGTCTTCCGCCAGGGCGCGGAAACCCGGAAACATGTCCTCCATGGGCTGCTGGAGAACCTCCGGCGACAAGCACGTCTTTCTCAGGAGAGCACCTGCACGCGTGGGCGCTTTCTGAGGCTTGTCCATGACAAGCTTCAGGAGTGCAGGTCCCAGGTCCTCCTGCTTGTGCCTGAACCACAGCGGCTTGCGCAAATCCCAATGAGTCTCTGCAGCGTCCACAAGAGGGCAATTCCCGGCCGGCTCGTTGTAGACAATCAGCCAGAAGCGCCCGAGCATCCAACTATCATCTTCTGACACGGCACCTTTTCGCGGAACCTTTTTGGCTCTGGCTTTGGGAGCTTTGGGTGCTTTGGGCTCGTGGCTAGCGTCCCCGCCGTCCCCGCCCTCATGCTCGTGCTCGCTGCCGTCATCGGCGTCGCTCTTCTCCTCAGCATCACCGCCATCACCGTCACCGTCCGACTCGGACAGGTCCTTGCCGCCATGCTCCTTGAGCGACTAAGCACAAAAAATGAAACGGAACTCTTGTGTTGGCAGCCGGGGCACCTCGTCGGCCAATTCTCTGCCTTTGCGCCTTGCATCTGTTCTGACCTTGTCCATCTCCTGCGCACGCCGCTTTCGAATTTTGGCCTCCCGCTCATCCTTGGCGCTGTCAAGCTCTCGCTGAGCCTCCAAGTCTGAGACCGTCTTGATGAGAAGGCTCAAAGCCTTTTGCACAGCCTGCTCAGCGGAGGCAAGGGACCTCTCGTGCTCGGCCAGAACCGTCTTGCTGAAGCCAGGCTGCCCCAGTGATTTCACCCGGCTGGCGGCCTGAGGCGAGAGCTTCGCCACCGAACGATTGGCATCAAACTTGGACGCCGCAGAATCCACTCCGAATGAGCACTTGCTTGCCTCTGGGCACAAGGAGTACAATCGTTCAAGACGAGCAAGAAGGACTTTCGCGATCCTTAGGAACAATCAACACAAGGGCAGGGCAGGAGCAGGAGTCAGCAAGAAATCAGGACAACAGCATTACTTGGGTCACTTGGGTCTTGGGTCCTCAGTGGCCAAATCTTAGTGAACCTGGATGCCTAAAAAACAACTTAGTCCAACAAGTCCAGGTGGCTCCTCGCACTCTGGGAAGCCAGCGCTCTGTTCCAAAGCCACGGATACTTCACTGTCAAGCTCTGACAATTTGGTCCGCCATCGACCGCCCATCAGCACAACTTTGCGTTTCATATCGATGGCTTCAAGTTCTGGATCCTTCACTTTGGGCTGCTTGGCACCAGGAGCCTCAAGACCGGTCGAGCCCGGCGTCACAAGGCCACCCTTGTCCGCCAGCATCTTTCCTCCACCACCGGCTGACTTGGTTTTTGCTTTGGCTTTAGCTTTGGCCTTCTTCTTCGCGCCAGGCGCCACGTCCCAAGCGCTGGATGGGCCACCAGCCAGCGCAGCGGAACCTTACATGGATTGCTCCAAAAGCACAGGACTTGCGGACATGACCCAGGAGCCACAAACAGCATTCATTCAATGCCCAGTTGCTCCGAAGGTCTGCTATGCCAGCTTCCACGTCAAGGTTGGATTCAACCAGTCCTGAACAAATGGTTGGGGCAGGACTGGGCAGAAGGGCAAGATTGAAAGACCTATAGTTGAGTTCATTGGGGGCAGAGGGGAGTGAGGTGGAGTGTCTCCACAGACCCAAGCCACACATCTAAAGTCTAAATTCTGTCACTGCCTAAGCCCAACTACCCCAGAACGCAAATCCGAAACCTAAACTCTCGTCCGTAATGCGTGAGCTGTTGAGTCACTGACCTGAAAAATCTTGAGCCCGACGCAGAACCAGAACACTGAACATCACCCCGAATCCCAATCCTATGATGCTCAAGCTAATCTTGCCCCTTGAACTCCCTAAGCCCCCAAACCTCTCGGAACAGAACACGTGACACTCAGGACTGCAGGAAACTCTGCCTCGTGCAAGGTCTGCGATCTCCGTGGCACTGTCCACCTCGTGGTTCGTCTTTTCCCGCAGCTCGCGGCGTGACCCCACTTGCCTTCCAGCTGCGATGCCATCCTGCTTGATCTTTGCCACAGTACGTTGCCAAACGTGTCCCTGTCTTTCTCCACTTTCGGATCCCTCAATGCCGCCTCCCATTCTTGGGTGCATCGGGCCTCGTCGAATCCAAAATTTTTGCGCAACTTCCTCCGGAACTGGACCTCGTTGAGGAACGCAACACCTGCCTCACGGCGCTGATAATCATCCACCGAGACCTTGCGCACAGGCACAAGGAGGGGTTTCCCACAATTAGCGGTACCTCTTTGGGGGTCCCCATATAATACGGATGATACTATAGCGGGGTCTATTTTGGGGTCCCGGGGTCCCCTACCCTGGGACATTACCAATTACCACGGTAAGTTGCTATAAGGGCATCTTGGGGTTATTGAGGAGCGCAAACTAAGCGCAACTAAGTCGGTGTAGCAAGGGCATGTAGGATTTAGGGGCTCAGGGCTACTACTAGAAGGAACACTGTGAAACTGTGAAACATTACAAACCCTATAAACGAGCGGTGCCCAAAACCCTGATGCTATTTTTGTTTCGGAAGCAAAAATGCTTGCGGTAGCTTACGTTTCCCAGGCTTGCGCGTACGGCATGACTTTGTTGTTGTTTCTGAAAGCCCCTGTCTCTTCTAGATCAGGAGAATGAAAAAATTCCCTACTCAAATAGTTTTTAATGATCCCCTTTCTCAAGGGGAGCCTCGGGACCTGTAGTACTTTGCAAATAAATCTTGCTAGCAATAGCATAGGCATGTTTGATACATGGAGTGCGTAATAATAAGCTAGCAGTGTGCTACAGGACTCAAAACCTCAACCCTTTGCTTGAATTCCCAACCCACCCCCACATCCCTGTCCCCTACCCCTATATTCATATTTATATGTATATATATATTTATATAAAGCCCTGCTACTAGCCTTCACAACCCAGACCCAACACCCGCAAAGCCGGGGTTTCCAACAATTAGCGGTACCTCTTTGGGGGTCCCCATTATAAGAAGGATGATAATATGGCGGGGTCCATTTTGGGGTCCTGGGGTTCCCCAGCCTGCCTGGGACGTTACCAAGTTAAGTTGCTATAAGGGCATATCAAGGGCATGTAAGATTTCGGGTCTAGGTCTCTTCCTGTAACCAGGAACCTGGAGGACTGCACACCCTTTGAGTTACTACATACCCTGACTACCAGCAGCCTTGAGAACCCAACACCTGACTGAAGCACAGTCTGACCACATGGTGAGTTTCGGTTCTACGGAGGGGCTGCTCACGAACATGATCGTAACAGCCACGGCAATGCTTACTGAAGTTGAGCAGCAGCAAGCTACTCCAAATGCAGTTTGCAGCGCAGCATGGATCAGTGCTAATCTGGCCCGCTAAGACAAGCGGCGCTCTGGACTTGTTGAAGCTCACGCCGCCGGCCACGACCGCCAGAATTTTTGTTGGCAACAATCCACTGGGTCCGGGTGGAAGGCGCCATCTTGGCCCATCCAGGTACAGTGTCCCTGCAGAACCTGACCATGAGAAATATGTGAACTACTGTTTAAACTCCTAGTATCCCCCTTAATATCCCCTATGGTAGTTATGGCTTTAAGCAGATTAGACTGTAGCTCATATGGGTGGGAGGTGGAGCCAAGAGCAAAGGTCTGGAAATCACACTGCCATGGCCTGTAGGAACTGTGGCACAGTTTGCACTTCATTTTGGTTCCGTACACGTGCCCATCTGAAGCATCATCGCCGCAGTCCATGCACCTCACAGCCCACAGCCGCATGTCCAAGAAGTCTCCACAAAACAACTCGGACCTAAACCCAATGCCCGACTAGCAAGTCGAGCGCAGCGCAGCCAATGACAGCCAAGGCGCAGGACGAGGACTTGCGTCGTTCCGGCAGCTCCCCCTGGCAGCAACTGAGCAGCGTCAGGCGCCACCGCCTGCTCGACAGCGGCCAGGCCGCCATCGGACAGAGGCTCCGACATGGAGTCAGACACAAGACAAGACACTCACACTCGCTCACACTTGCCGCTTCCCTTCAAACTGCGGAACACACGGCGCTGCAACTCGGAGCGCTGTCTTGCTCAAGGGCTAGCACTACTACAGCAGGCAGCACAGTCCATGAAAGCCGGCCAGCTTCCCCCAGCCCCCAACCACATAAGTCTGACACAAGGCTACAGTCCACCTTAAGTAGATAGTATATGG